GTTTCAATATATATATATATATTCTTTTTTTAACTTAAGTGTACGTATAAGTCGCATCAGCATAGTGTAATCAGGTTTCAGGAATGATAAAAACGCTTCAAGATTTTATAATATAATCTTTAGTTTTAGTTTTAAAATTTTTTATTCTACCGGATATTATTTTCTTCCAGATTTTAAAAACAGTATTATAGTAATTAAAAAGTGAATAAATTCATGAAATACACATTTTTAAAAAAAAATATCGATGCATATTTAATCAAATTGTTTTTGATTGTAATTGTTTCATAATTCGAACAAGTATTGAAGTGACATTAGTAAGTAGGGTCTAAGAATTAGAAAAGTGATTTCTCAATGGAGTCTTTAAATTTTATCTTCATTTAAAATTCAAAATGCATGCATGAATGTTTAAAAATTTTTTCTGAAATGTGTCCCCGATACTCTTGTTCCTGATATTATTGCTATGTGATATGCGAATATCACCTGAGTATTTTTCACAGGTATTTAATATTTAATGTGTTACTTAAAGTATTGGATTAAAGTCAAAAAGCTTTTGACGTTATATTGGAATTATTGATCCCGGTCGTATTCCTGAAGTTTGTACTGGCATCAAGAGTTTATTGTATATTTGAATGTAAAAATAATTTCAAGCTACAAAATGATTTTGACTTCATCTAAGATTGTGTTTTAAGTTATTGATTGTGATAATTATCAGAGTATTCGTAGGAAATACTAACATGATTAAGTGGATTTCTTTATGAAAATTTCTTCATTTGTTGTAAACTCTTTTAATGCTGTCATATCTTAAATTGCAAGGATCACTTATATCTTATAAATTCACAAATTTTTTGCTTTATTAATATTTTGGCACCAGATTTTTGTTAACAGAAAAAATTATGTTTTCTCAATGTGATGTTAGATTTATGAGTTTAATTTTATAGTATGATTTTGGTATTAAAATTACATATGGTTTATTTAAGATTAAGAAATTTCATTAAATCTTCAAAGTTTTGTTGCAGTTCAAAAGAAATGCAAAAATTGTCATTAAATCATAATTTAAAAAAAAACATTAATTAAAACATTATTAAAATGATATTATTTTAAAAACTATCACTACGCACTAAATTTGGACAAGATTTTGAAATAAAATAAATGTCCTTTGATTTCCAGGAATAGTTTTTTCAGAGGAGGGCTTGCTGAATATACATTTTAAAATAGAATTAATTTGCTTTTTCTTTACCAAATTATTTTTATTTTTGCATTGCGTTCCAAACGTACTTGCATTGCGCTCCAGACAACAATATTATAATCAAATCATTAAAAAATAAATACATTATTTTATAATTATGTATTTTCACTGTTTGACTAAAAAAATATATTATTGCTTTTTTGTTTATTTTAATTGTTATAATATATATCTGGATTAGAAAAAAAGTCTAAATGTCATGATATTCTTTACTTAATCTTACCACAACTTGCAGAACATAGCGGTGAAGTTATTTGCAACGTCACTTAAATTTTTAGATAATCAATCATATCAAAGGAATTCGAACTTCGCATAGTAGACATCTTTATTTTTTAAGTAACGTGTGTGATATAATTAGAACGCATTTCACTTGATACTAGATAAACTGAAAGCTCCAAAGGTTTTCAAGGATAACATTCGTCCTTGATAAAGGTGGAGACAAATGAGAGTGAAGATATTTGCATTTATTGAATGATATTTAAACAGAAAATAGGAATATTATCGGATAATTAATATATTCTATAAATAAAATTTTATTCGAATTAAATTTATTTATAGAATTAAATGGTAATTATTCATTTATCAATTCATCGATAAAAATTATTTTATGTGTGGAGATAAAAATATTTGAAGCAAAAAAAAAAAAAAAAAAAAAAAAAAAAAAAAAAAAAAAAAAAAAAAAAAAAAAAAAANAAAAAAAAAAAAAAAAAGAGATTGCATCACATAACTTTTATCATTTTTTATTTCTTTCAATAATTTCTTTCTTTTTCTATTATTCTCTTTAATTTTTTATCCTATTTTTGATGCATAGTAAATCATTGTTATTCCTAATATATCGTTAAAATATCCCTTTGGTCTCAAGGAAAAGTTCTGAAGTGCTAAATCTAAGTCGTTTAAAATTTATAAATGGAAAAAGAGGAGGAAACCTATAAGTTGACCAGACGTCCTCAAATCTTGAGGACAGGCCCTCGAATTTCTTTTATTGTACATAAAATATTTTCAATCTCTTTGAGGACATGTGTCCTTAAAAGTACATCAAAACGACGATTTTATATAAAACGTCATTTAATTCGATTTTATTCCTCAGCGTCATTTAATCACGTAATCAAAATGTGAATTTCTGTCAAAGGAATTCGAACTTAGCTTAAAAGGCATCTTTACTTTAAGTAACGTGTATGATATAATTAGAACGCATTTTTCTTGATCCTAGACAAACTGAAAGTTCCAAAGGTTTTCAAGGAAAACAATCGTCCTTGATAAAGGTGGAGACAAATGGGAGTGAAAGTGTTTACATACGGCTTTAAAATTGTTAATAAAATGAAATATAGCACTATATAAATTTTTACTTTATTTTATAAATCTTTTTTTTTCGTATAAATTTATAATTTTTACAAATGTGTCTTTAAAATTATTTAATTCTCTATAAATGTCAAAAACAGCAACAGAAAATATTAGTAAAAATCAATGAATTCAGAAAATAACATCTGTTTTAAATGACAGTTTTTAAAAAATATTCTTTAATAATTCGTCAGAATTTTCAAATAAAAGTAATACTCATCTATATTATTTCCCTTGAGTTATAAATATTACTAAATACACTGGTGAAAAATGCTTTTTTCATTGTTTTTGTGTCTTTTTTTTTTCAATGTTTTTAAATTTTTTTTACAAATTTTTCTTCATTGTCTCATTTGTTTAATTCCTCTTGGTTTCTCTGCTGCTAAGCGTATTTTTTCCATTTGGATGTTTTATTTTTATTTCTAATTTTATTAATTTTTTGCATTAATATTTTAAATTCCTTTCTATAAATACACTGGTATAAGAAATTAAGAGAATTTGTAGACTTGGTCGATTATCTCTAGAACTACTGGACCAATTTTAATTAAATTTCAAATGTGCATACATTGATACAATACAAAGCAAATAACCATTCAACAATTTTAATACACACTTACGATCACGCGTAACACTCTTTGGAGTCGGAAGGTATGAAATTGCCACAAGACAATTCAGGCCAATTGCCATAGGAAGCGATATACTGCATTATTTCAAGTATGAAATCACGCTGCAAGGCCTGTATAGGGGACCATACCCCCTATCATTCCATATTTTTTGTTTATTCGGTAACAGCTGTTTCAT